ATTATATAGAAAACCTGATTTTTGCACAGGTGATCTTCAACCCTGGATTTAGAATTTGGAAGTTTAAACACCTGTAGGGGTGTAATTTTCCCTTAATTTTATCATGTTTAACTTATAAATACACGAGTATGGTTTCTGAGAAAATATTTTGATGCAAAATTTGTAAAGTTGTAACTATTTGTCTCGTAAGAAATTATGAAAAAAAATATATATTTTTCAATGAAAATCTTCATTTTTATTCATTTTACCTTTAGACAAACAATTTTAAAAAAAAACGTTTTAATTATAATATTAACATGATATTGTATTGGTTGAAAAAAAGTATGCACCTAATACAATCATAGAAGTCCTCAACTTAATGGATTTTAAAATATAAATATTCCATTGAATTTCATGAATTTGAATGTATTTTCACAAAATCTATAAAAAAAAATCTCATTAAAATGATGAAACTTCAAATGAATTTATTTTATGTATTTTTAAGTTTGAAATTAATCCGAATCTTTTGAAATTCATTTATTAATGAAATTTTTATAATTAGTTTGTTTTATGTATTAATGAAAATTTAAATGACTTTGTTTTATATATTTTTTATGAATTTTAATAAAATCGATTGAAATCTCAATTGAAAATTATAAAGATTTTAAAATTTATTAAAATTTCAATTAAGGATACTATGCATCTCCCTTCTCGTCTCTTATCCCTTTTCTCTTTTCCAAACCTTGTTGCACCCCTTCACTTCTTTTTCCCGTTGATTCCCTCCATGAACAACTTCCATCAGTTTTTAATTTTGTTGAGTGTCGATTCGGGTCTCTCTTGAGGCAAACACTGGAAGGGACAAAAAGAGATGAGAGACGTGATGATGTTAGAAATAATGGTGTGTTTGATAGGTAGAAAATTTCATGGAAAATAAAATTACAATTTCATCTTTTCATTTTTTTTGTGTTTGATTGCCAAAAATTTCCTTGAAATTCATTTTCCACCTTTTGATGCCACATAGATATTTTCTTTCTTTTTCCCGGATTATGTAACAAATTTTGTTTTTCAGTTATTTATTTATTTATTTTGGCAATGGAAACAAATTCTAAAAATAATTGTAAAAAAATATTTTCCCTTAATTAGCAATTTTCATGTAAAACAAAGTCAAACGAACACCAAAATATAGATGATTTTCTTGAATTTTTTTTGGGTTGGCAATGGAAACAAATTCATCCCCAATACCAGTAAAATCTATTTCTTTAATTGATAATTTTCATGTAAAACAAAGCCAAACGAACACAAAAAAACACTTTTATTTCAACATTTTCTACTTGAAAAATAATACCAATCAAACACAATAATTTACAATTCTCAAAAAAACAATTTTTAGGCAATTCAATTCTCTGGAATTCGTTTTCAATTCAATTCAATTCTATCTTTACAATCAAACAGACCCTAACATCCACTGAAATAATATTATTCTATTTTTATTTTACTTTATTTTGTCTCTTTATCTTTAATACTTCCCAAAAATCAAATTTCATTTAAACCCCCGTTTGATAACAATTCTTCACCTCGAAAATCATTTTTTTTTTTACCATTATTTCACTATTTCAACCATCATTTTTTACTTATTCACTCACATATGAAACTCACTTTTCTCTCTAACAATAAAAAAATCAATTCTCAAAATTATTACCACTGTTATCAAATTAATGCTCATGTACTATCATCTTTCTTTGCAGTGGATTTGGGGCCCCAAACAAGTCATTTGAAATGTAATCACTTTTGATTCAAGAATAGTTAATGATTTGATTTGATCCGAGCTTTCCGTACAGAAAACTAGGACTATTCAAATTAATTGGAGACAACCTCCCAAAGATCAGATATGCAACATACAAATTAGAAAAAGAAAAAAAATTTAAAAAGCAAAAAAATATCAAATTAAAGACTTTCTATATAGTCCCGATTTGGAATAGATTAACATCTGATTTTAGTTTTAAATTAAAATTGACATTTAATTTTAGTTACATATTTTATTGCTTCCATAAATTTTCAATCACATATTTTATCAATCTTATTAAAATTTATTAAAAATCTAATTTTATCCTACACCAAACGGGAGATATATTCTTCAAACCCAACTGATAATAACAAATTATAGAAGAAAAAAACCTTCTAGAAACTCATTGGCATGTCTCAACATTTCTTGAGCTCAACTAAGAATAAGTGATTATAAAGTTTAATTAATTAATTAACGTTCTTGTCCCCCACATATCAAAACTTCTTATCCTCATCCACCTTGAAATGACACTTTAAAATTTTAAAAAGAAGATGCATTTATGTGTCCAATTTTGGGAAAATAGTATTGAAGATATAATCTTTAGAGTAGCGTGGAATTGGAGTATGCTAATATGTTGAAGTTTTACGATTATCTATTTTGTGGGTAACAAAATTTGAGAATTATGGAGGTCAAGTATTATCCAGTTAATTAGGATCAACTTGATCGGATTGGAGTTTTTACACTAGCCAAGTTCCCATTGAAATAAAATTCATAGAAGGAAAACCATTTCTCGTTCATTGATAATTAGTGACATATTTAGCACGTCGCAAACAAGACATAACTTTATAATTTTAATGAAACTTCTGTGACAGATGATCATTGTCGAAGTAAAAAAGGCTTACTAGTGAATATTAGCCTATTTTTTCTTATCGATAATCTAGAATTATAAAAGAATATATTCGATGATTTACATCTAGTACTCCACTTTTCATTATATCAAAAAAAATATTCCATGTAAAGCACGACAAAAAAATTATAACACTTTTCGGTCTTTAAACTACTCTCTCACAAAGGCCATCGGATAAGTACCATACCACCTGTCCCTTTAGTGACGTAAGTAGAACATGCTTATTCCCATAATTAAATGCCTCAATAGGGATTCTAATTAATCATATTTTATTAAAGAGAATGGTGATTAGGGTGGAATTATCTCCTTAAGAAATAAGCAAATCAAACACATGTTAGTTAGCCATTGGCTTTGTAGTGGCTTTCAAGCTTAAAAATTATCCACCCAATTAATATTTAATTGTAATTATGTATTTAATAAGAGAGTGCTTTAAAGGCTTTTGGTTTATTGTGTCTAGATGCATAAACACCTATGTTATATGTGGCCCTAGGCAAATTAGTACGTCACAAAATGTCTTGACAAAATTTTCCATTCCTTGATTGCCCTTATTCGGTTTTGGGCATCTGAGAAATATTCTATGTTGGGTCGAAAAATTGAGATGTGTTTATATGCATGTCGTTACTTATTCTATTCATATCAAATACTGTACATAGTATCAAAACTTCTTATCCTCATCCACCTTGAAATGACACTTTAAAATTTTAAAAAGAAGATGCATTTATGTGTCCAATTTTGGGAAAATAGTATTGAAGATATAATCTTAATTATTTTTTTATTTTTACAGTAGCGTGGAATTGGAATCTGCTAATATGTTGAAGTTTTACGATTATCTATTTTGTGGGTAACAAAATTTGAGAATTATGGAGGTCAAGTATTATCCAGTTAATTAGGATCAACTTGATCGGATTGGAGTTTTTACACTAGCCAAGTTCCCATTGAAATAAAATTCATAGAAGGAAAACCATTTCTCGTTCATTGATAATTAGTGACATATTTAGCACGTCGCAAACAAGACATAACTTTATAATTTTAATGAAACTTCTGTGACAGATGATCATTGTCGAAGTAAAAAAGGCTTACTAGTGAATATTAGCCTATTTTTTCTTATCGATAATCTAGAATTATAAAAGAATATATTCGATGATTTACATCTAGTACTCCACTTTTCATTATATCAAAAAAATATTCCATGTAAAGCACGACAAACTTTTTGGTCTTTAAACTACTCTCTCACAAAGGCCATCGGATAAGTACCATACCACCTGACCCTTTAGTGACGTAAGTAGAACATGCTTATTCCCATAATTAAATGCCTCAATAGGGATTCTAATTAATCATATTTTATTAAAGAGAATGGTGATTAGGGTGGAATTATCTCCTTAAGAAATAAGCAAATCAAACACATGTTAGTTAGCCATTGGCTTTGCAGTGGCTTTCAAGCTTAAAAATTATCCACCCAATTAATATTTAATTGTAATTATGTATTTAATAAGAGAGTGCTTTAAAGGCTTTTGGTTTATTGTGTCTAGATGCATAAACACCTATGTTATATGTGGCCCTAGGCAAATTAGTACGTCACAAAATGTCTTGACAAAATTTTCCATTCCTTGATTGCCCTTATTCGGTTTTGGGCATCTGAGAAATATTCTATGTTGGGTCGAAAAATTGAGATGTGTTTATATGCATGTCGTTACTTATTCTATTCATATCAAATACTGTACATAGCAATTATTTTGAGTTGAATGAAAGCTCTTTCCTCTTAGAAGTACAGTTTCATTTCATCATTCATAATTGAATTGCGAGAATTTTTAAATATGTAGACTAACTCTAAGTCGAACTCTTTCAATTTCAAGATTGTCAAAGGCAGCTCTAGAACAATTAGAAAATTATCTTAAAAAAATAGCAATATTTGATAAAATAACAATCTATGTGAAATACACAAAATACTTGAAGAGAAGGAAAGCTCTTGTTTTATCAAAGTGAAAAAGTTCCGATGATTGTTCTTGTACTTTTCATAGAAGTTTAATAAACAAATAAATATAAAATCTAACTAAACTTTAATCAAATAAATCCTATTGTGCTGAGAAAAAAAATGTATAAAATTCAACTTAACTAAATGGGAGGACCACATGATCATATACCCAAGAAATGAAGAAGGGTATTTCTGTAACTTGCAAATTAAGTTGTATCTATAGCTAATCTTTGGATTATATGATGAGAGGATACTATAGATTATTTTATTGTGACATGAACCGAGAGTGGGAATGAGGCAATTAAGGTCAGATTGCAGTATAAATATGCAATAGACACCAACGCATTATGTCAGGGAATTCTTAGGACAAAAATCCTATTTATAATAATTTCTCCTAATAAAAATAGACAATTTTGTTTTGGCCTTTTTGTCTTGGGGAGTGATGGAACAACATATGAGATGGGGAGCCATGGAAGAAGAGTGGAGAAAGGGCCCTTGGACTACTGAAGAAGACAGGTTGCTCATCGAATATGTCAAATTGAATGGTGAAGGAAGATGGAATAATGTGTCTAGGCTTGCAGGTAACAACAAATCCTATAGTTAAGACTCGTTTGGTTCGTTTAATAATATAGACCATATTGTACTTCAATACTCTATCGAATAACAAACGAACAAAAAAAAAGTTAAGGAGAACATTTTTTCTTGCTTCTTCTATAAAAGTTGGCTTATCCCTTGAAACTGTAAAACAAGCCTACAAGATACCCATGTTTGGCTTCTAAACTCAACCAAACAAGTTCTTGTTAATCGTATTGTCTCGTCTTTTTTAGCTATCGTTGGTTCTATTTTTCAATATTTATTTTTTCCCCTAACTCATTTTCAACCACACACACTTCGTGGACCCATAACTTTTATCAATTTTTAATTACACATTTCACTAAATTTTATCAAAATAATTTTTTTAGCTAACCAAATAGGATCTTGATATTGTGTCACAAATATGTCTTATCTTTGTGATTGTGGATCAAAATTATGTAATATGTATATCTGCAGGGTCAAATTCATGATCATAAAAAGTGTCTCATTTTTCTGATAGATTTGGTTTGGTATTTTGTGTTTGAACAGGATTGAAAAGAAATGGAAAGAGCTGCAGATTGAGATGGGTGAATTACTTGAGGCCAGATCTTAAGAGGGGGCAAATAACCCCACATGAGAAGAGTATAATTCTTGAGCTACATGCTAGATGGGGCAACAGGTAAATTTGCTGCTGTCCTATATGAGCTATTTACTTCTCATCAATTTTAGAGTTAGCTTGAGGACCCTTTTTTGAAATGAAAAAGCCAGGTCCCATAAAGTAATGTACTGGTGCTAGAATACCAGCTTATGTGGCATTATGTAATAGGTTCAATTAAACGTGAGATCATGTTATTCACTTAATTATACTTTTCATTTAATATATAACACTTAGTGTCACCAAAACTTATGTTTTAACACCAGTGGTACTGAATATCATTGCTCGGCTCCACAACATTCTAGCTTAGAGAACGAGTCTTTATTAACATTTCATGAACACAGATGGTCAACGATTGCTAGAAGCCTGCCCGGAAGAACGGATAATGAAATCAAGAACTATTGGAGGACTCATTTCAAGAAAAAGGGAAAACCATCCTCAGAAAACACGGAAAAGTCCCGTCTGCGGCTTCTGAAAAGGCAACAATTTCAGCTACAACAACAACGACAATACCAGCTTCAACAAGAAGAAAATGGAATGGACATGAAGAAGATAATCTCGTTGCTTGATGAAAATGATAACAACAATGGTCTGCCGTACTTCCCTCAAATGAGACAAGAAATAATTTACCCAAACACGAACGATGAGTCGGGCTTCTTTTATTCAATGATCAATGGATGTGCAACCATGCTAGAGACCTCTTATGAAGATATTATGTGGGGTGGCTTGTGGAACTTGGATGATTTCCATGGAAATATTCAGCCTGGGAATGCTATAAAAAGAGTTGGTTAACCAGCACACTTTAGCCACTAATTTCAATAGAACTTTCAATATCTGCTTAAGCACTGGATGATTGAGAACCACAAAAGGTTTTCAAGTGAGAGAGTATGATTGTTCTGCTTTTTTTTCATTTTGGTTCCTCTTTTGTGTATGTTAGTCTACTAAGGCATTTAGAATGACTGTTAAATTTTGTGCTGCTAGCAGGCTGGTTCAACTTTGTGTCCAAAAAAGTTTGGAACACACAGACAAACTGTGCAACTCAATGAAATAAAACAAAACCAGCTTTTTTTTTTTTTTTTTTTTTGCCATAGATTATAAATTTGCCCTCAACCCAAAAAAAAAAAAAAAAACCCGTTTTTTTTTTTTTTTTTTTTTTTTTTTTTTTGCCATAGATTATAAATTTGCCCTCATTTTGAAACAATGAAACGATATACTCGTACAAAATATCAAATATCAGTTCTGCTAATTTTTCGCACAACCTTAAATTTCTAAATTCAAATACTATTTGAAAGTGTCCAGTCAAGCCCAAAAAAGAAAAGGGATTCTTTCATTTTCTAATACTACTCGATAATATCCAATCCAGCCCGAAAAGAAAAAGGATTCTTTCAAAGAAAAATTTCATAACTAAGAGGATAACTATTAGCTATTTCAAAAGTCAGAATACAAGTTTCAAATTTCAAAAATTAGATATTCATTAAAATTTATTTATAATTTAATTAATTAATTATATATTTTATTAATTAAATATATTAAGATGATAGATCTATACAATTTGATCACAGATTCACAATTTAATTAGTCACATGTTATTTTCTGATCACAAATCACAATTTTTTAATATCACAAGTTATTTTACGGTCACAATCCAAAACTTTTGTAGGTCACAATTTGTTTGTCAATCATAGATCAAAAATTTATACATCACAATTTATTTATATGTCATAGATTGCAAATATTATATATCACAACTTAATAAACATTCACAAATTATTAATTTTTTATGTCATAGATTATTTTTTTGTCACAATTTATCTTTCTTATTGGTCACATATTGTTTATTGGTTACATACTAACCAATTTAATGATCACAATCAACCAATTAATCTATGACCACCACCAAACAATCACTACCTCCAACATCACCAACACCACCGTCACCGCTAGAACCACTACCACCATCACCCTACAGAATAGCACTATCTCAAACAAAATCAACACACTCATCTCGACAGAACATGACCACCAACATCATACCGTCACTACACCCACTGTCACAACCATCATCGTCTACCGCTAGCTACCATTGCTACAACCACACCAACACCACTGTCGCCGTCACGTACAGCACCACAACCATCACCACCACCACCTCACCATCACAACAAACCAACTACAGAACTTAACAAATCCACCATGCTGCCATTATCACTACGACTGCAACCATCGTCGCAGCCAATCCATAACTATAGCCATTGACGACAGTAACAGATCGCTGTAATGCGGGCAACATGTGCACTGTAGCGCGGCGGCGCACTCCAGATCGCTGTCAAAGTGGATGAGGCCACGAATTGCTTCTAGTCACTACTGGAAACACAACATATCAACTCTATCAGTTTGAAGGGCGACCGTGCCTCCGATGTCGAAGTTGTGTTGCTGGGGAAGGGTTGATAGAGAAAGAGAAGGAGTCGACAAGTTTCTTTTTCATCAGGGAAGCGCCGATTGTTTGAAGGTAGAATGGATAAATGTGAGAGAGAGAATTAGGATTTGTGAGTAAAAATACTTATTTTATAAAAATATTAATTAAAATAAAATTTCTGATTTTTGAAATGTTAAACTCCCACCGATTTTAGAAATCAAGATTTCAATGCTAGGGTTTTGTGTAATTTCCACTTCTTTCAATTCCTTTAAAATGTTTGAATCGTGTTCAATATTGAGCCTCCATTTGGGTTTCACTTTATTTTACTAAAATTTTACTTTTAAAAAAGGAAAATTATAGTAGCAGTCCCTAACCTTTCATTTTTTTGTAGACTTTACTCTAACATTTACTTTATACTATCTACGGTCTCAATTCTTTCAAAAATATACATCTAAGGTTAAAATGGATGATTCAATCCATTTGACTGTTACTTAACCAAGAAAGTCAAAATTTTAAAAAATATATACAAACCTACCCCAACCCCCTAAACCCCCAAATCAAAACAGTATAGCAACTCTTCTTCTCCGACAATCACTTATCAAAAATCGATGCTGCCACCACCGTAACACTCCCACTTTCACCATTGTCACCTTCCAATCCACATCACATTCGAAAATCAAACCAACAAAACTCACTCCCCATACTCGAAAATCATTCCAGTGAAAATCACTTCCCATGCACACTACCTTCAATCTGAAACCAGAAATGAAATCCTACCCAGTGGCGGATCTAGCTAGTGGCGAGCTAGGGCGGCCACCCTAGCTGGATCCATCGGAAGCCATTTTTCCGGGCTGACAATAGGTTAAGGTTTGAGGTTATATTTCTGATAATTCTTTCTTCTTCCAAATTCTCCTTCTAGCTGAAGTGGTTAGAGCTTGTATTTTCATTTTGCAAGGTCCTCGTTTCGATTCTCTTCCTAGCCAATTCATTGTGCAATTTTTTTAGTTTACAACAACTACCAAAATAAATGCAATAGGAAAGGGTTGGATAGGATTCGGACCTTGAACCCCTATTATAATCATTAAAACCTAACCACTATGACATCTATTGCTTTTGGCACTTAATTCAACAAAATGATATATATTACATTTATTGGGTTTAATAAAATTATAAAGATTCAAAATCATGCTCTTCCTTTAAATTATACTATACTTAGCAACAATATCATTTGGTGAATATGCGGTTTATTCTTATAACATAATTATATATGTTCAATATGAACAAAATAATTGTTATATTTAAATATTAGGCCTTGTTTTATTTTTATTTTTTTTTCAAAATACATTTTTATCTATCTTATTTTTAAGCATATATTTTTCAATATATTAATATTATACGCAAATTCAAAAAATTTTTCTTATTTTTGACCTCATGTTCCCCATGAAATCATTATTTCAAAATGCATTTTTTGTTTAAAAAAATGATATCAAACGATTTCTTAATACTTTATTGCGGTCGACGGTCGACAGTCAACAATCAACGATCGCCCGTGCTGACTCAAAATCCTAGATTCGCCACTGATCCTACCCCCACCCAAATCAAAACCAGAAGTGAAATTACCCAGCCACCAACATGCTACCGCACTGATTTTTCATTTAGAACGTCTTTGGCAACTACAGATAACCATTGTTGATGCGAACCCCATAGCAATGGAAACTACGAAACCCACAACTAGATTGATGCGGAACTCAAGAACGCCAATACTAATCCGATTTTGGATCTTGAACCCCAATAATCGAACCACGAAACCTCATATTAGCGAAGAATTTGAAACCCCTTGATTGCAATCAATGAAACCCACAATCCGACGTCAAGAACGCCACAAGAAATCGATTCTTGATAAGTTCTAAGTTTGTCCAATGAAGAACAATCGATTGAAAGAAAATTTCTCTCTCTGTATTAATTTCAGCCAAAAGTTTTTTACATAATGAAAAGAGTTTCCTATTTATACTATGGCATAAAAAACGTCCAAATTAATCAAAATATGGTAATATTTTGATTTCACAAGAGTTCTACCAACATTAGAAGATTCGGCAAAAATTAAAAAAAACGAATTTTTTTTCCACTTTTTGATCTATGCGGCCGCATAGATCATTTCTATGCGGTCGCATAGATCACTCCAGCCAGTCACATGTAGTTTTGGTGGCCTTCTATGTGGCCGCATAGGCCGTTGAGCCTGCGGTCGCATAGACCAACTCCGTGCCGCCTTCGTCCGCTTTTATCTCGTTGATCCAAGTTCCTTCGACCTTCGACCCCAACATGAAACTTGTTCCATTTGACCTCCCGAACATTGTTTCATCGATCGTTTGCTTGACAAGCAATCCCATCGCTTCTTTCACTCGCTTCATCCTCGATCGCGTCATCGGTCCGCCTTCGACTATCAATGGATTCTTTCCGTAACTCGTCGCTTGACTAGCTTCGATTGTGGACGTGCCTTGATTCATATCATCCCTTCTCTCTTCGAAAGGATTCGTACTCGAATCTGAACCTGCATTGAAAAGAGATAGATCAGCAACATTAAAAGTAGCTGAAATATTATACTCACCTGGTAAGTCCACTTTGTAGGCATTGTCGTTGATCCGCTCGATGACTTGAAACGGTCCATCGCCTCTTGGTTGCAACTTCGACTTCCTCTGTTTTGGAAAACGCTCCTTTCTGAAATGCACCCAAACCCAATCTCCAGGTTCAAATGTAACGCGTCTCCTTCCTTTATTTGCTTTTGATGCAACCAGCTTTCCTTTCTCTTCGATCTGCATCCTGACCCTTTCATGGAGTGCTTTCACCATCTCTGCCTTGCGTTTTCCATCCAAGCTACCTCGTTCATGCACAGGTAAAGGTATTAAATCCATAAGTGTTAGTGGATTAAAACCATAAACAATCTCAAAAGGAGAAAATGAAGTAATAGAATGTATGGCTCGATTATATGCAAACTCTATGAATGGTAAACACTCTTCCCATGATTTCAAATTTTTATTGATCACTGTCCTAAGCAATTGTGTCATAGTTCGATTTACCACCTCCGTTTGACCATCTGTTTGTGGGTGACAAGTTGTAGAAAACAATAACTTAATTCCTAACTTACTCCACAAAACACGCCAAAAATGACTCAAAAATTTCACATCTCTATCTGACACTATACTCTTAGGTACTCCATGTAAACGTACTATTTCCTTAAAGAACAAGTCCGCAATATTAGTAGCATCGTCAGTTTTATGACATGGTATAAAGTGCGCCATCTTACTAAACCTATCGACCACTACAAATATTGAATCCCTACCCCTCTTTGTCCTAGGCAAACCTAACACAAAATCCATAGATATGTCTACCCATGGTTCACTAGGCACAGGCAAAGGAGTATACAATCCATGAGGTTGAACCTTAGACTTAGCCTTTTTATAAGTTATGCACTTTCCACATATTTGCTCTACGTCATGTCGCATTCTAGGCCAATAAAAATGTTCTCCTAACATGTCTAAAGTCTTTTGAACCCCAAAGTGTCCCATTAAACCACTCCCATGTGCTTCCCTTACCAATAATTCATGCAAAGAACAACTAGGAATGCACAACTTATTTTCCTTAAACAGATATCCTTCATGACTATAG